CACTGACCACTGTCAAGCTCTGGCACTGTGAAGGCATGACAGTGCCAGGGCTAGGCAACAGCAGGTGCAAAAATGCCTGGTATTATAGGCTGAAGCTAGAGGAACGGGGTGGGTGACTGTGTTTGTGAAATGCCCCCTGAGAACTCGTAGAAATGCTTCTGAAACCCCCTGAAGGCTGCTGAGGTCCTGAACATGTCTGTAGAGACAAGATCCAGGAAAATTTTTGTTTTATTATTGCTGTGAAATAGAGAAGCCTAGGAAAAAGTATGCTTTGTTTTGCTGTAAAGATATTTTTCCTAATAGTTTGTATTTTTTCTCTGTTGAATACCATTGTTTCTTGTCCCCTATCTGTTCTCAAATGGTAAATTACACCTTCTCATTTATACTGTTATCTTGCTGATACATAAAACTAGGATCATGTGTCTCGTGAGTTTCTTCTGGTTTTTCAAATTTTGTTTTCTTGGTTGCCCCTGTGTGGTTCTAAAACCAAATTAGTTTATTCTGTTTCCTGGTTTCATTTCTTTCTAATGCTACTCTTGTGTATTTTTTTAATGTCTAGAACTATATGTCAAAATCTAGTCACATCTAGAATAGCTAAGTTAGATATCTACCTATTGCTGAGAAGCTTGTTTATATATACTTACAAAGGGTAAAGAATGAAGAACTCAAGTTGGTTAAAGCAGGGGAAGCAAGTGCTAAGCATTGATAGCTATTCAGTAATATAAACAGAGTCGGCATTGTCTATTGATATTTAAGTGTGCTTTTCACTTCTGCAAGGTGTGTGTGTGTGTGTGTGTGTGTGTGTGTGTGTGTGTATGTGTGTTTTACCCTCCAAAGCTTACCTTTGATCTTATAAAGACAAAGTCGGAAATACTGATGGGCAGTTCTTTACAAAGTCAATTGTAAACACATGGAATTTAGTACCTTAAGTGCTAACAAAGGCTGTTAACAAAGAAGGTACAGAAAGATTTGGCAAATTCATAGAGGATAGATCTACAGTAGGTTATTAAGGAAAAACTGAGATGGTCCTTTACCCACTAAGTTTCTAGCAAGCAAGTCCACATTCTAGGGATTTAAAGGCTCTTGAGAGGTGAGGGGATGGGGAAGGTACTCTAACTGCTGCCCAAGCATACAATTCATATCTCATTATGCATATATAAGATTGTGTTGCAATTAGAATGTGTCACAATTGATCACATACCTTACATTCATGTTTTCCCAAGTAGTATCCAAACTCCTTGAGACAAGAGGCCTATTTGGTGTTGCATCTTCAGTACCTAACCCAGTATATGACACCGAGGAGGCAGTCACCCGGATTGCACAATTGTTGAATGAATACTGTCTATTCATCTTCCAATAATACTCATCTTCCTGATCCTAGTAGTTTTCTCCCGTAACCCATCTGTCCTCCAACTAATCACACTCAAAAGCTGAATCTCATCCTGGACTTGTGGTTACTCCTCTTCCTCTACGTTATTTCCTTTGACTAAGACAATGACAGAATTATCCCTACTCATTGTTCACACGTCTATAGGTGAAATGTCTTAATATATAGCTAAAATCATGCTCTTCCACTGCTTAAAAGCCTTCAATATATTGCCATTGCCTACAGATTTATATGCTAACACCTTAGCATCTTATTCCAGCACTCTAGGATATGGCACCGGTCTACTTTTCCAGAATTATCTTCAAACTTTTATACTTTATAGAACTACTAGCTGTACTATTTGCTATTCTCCAAAAATACTTATATTTTTTTACCTCTACTTTTCTTAAGGACATTTCATTCCACTGAAATGCTTACTATCCCCATCTCCAACTCCTACTGCTGATTTCCATTCTCATCCTTCCAAGCCTTTTTCTGTGTGTGTGTGTGTGTGTGTGTGTGTGTGTGTGTGTGTGTGCTTGTGTGTGTGTTTTCCTGACATATCCATTAAGTCATGATATTTCCCTTCTCTGAACTCACATAATATGCTATTGGCACCTTTTGTGTAGTACCTATTGTCACCTGCCTCACTCTGCAGTATTTCTGTACTTTTTTATCTTTCCTACAAGACACAGGGTCTTATAACTAAGACTATCTTATTTATGCATCTTCCATCATTTGTAATATAGCACCTTTCACAGAACATACGTACGATAAATTAATGAATGTATAGGAGCTCATTTCCTAATCTCAGAGTTTGACATCAGCAAAGCTGTAATCTGGGTTGATATTCAGCCAGTATGAATTAATACAACCATGGTGGCTACTTATTGCTGTGTATATTCTGACAGGTTGGGGACTGTGCGATATCAGTTATTAATATTTTAAATATCACTCCTGATATGATAGTCTCCCTTAAAATGTCTTTTGGTGCCCTTAATAGAAACAGCGCACTCAGCTGAAATGGCTGGCGGCAATACTTGGGAGCTTCTTCTGAGTTACCTAATGTGGGTTACTCTTGGGGAGGGGACATAGGCTTGTGTGGGAGATCTCTAATTTAGGCAACTAATTACACCATTTATTAACATTTTAACTTTCTAATGGAGAATACAGACTCTCACCTCATTTTGTTTAAATAGGGCATTGAAAACACTGCAATTAGATGCAGAATTGTAGCGCTCTGTATTTTATATACTATCATTTCCATCTGCAAGTGATGCTAACAAGATGGAAAGCAGAGCAGAACATCTTTGCTATTTGAGGTGGGCTCTGATTTCAGATTTTTGTCTATTTCCTCTTATTTTAATTTACTTGGAGGAAACAGCCATTTTTTTATGATTCGGTTTTATTGCTTGTATCTCACCATGTTGAAGTGGAGGTCATTAGAAAGCAACAAGGATGCCAGTGTTGAATAAGGAAATTGTAACAATACAAAATCAATGGGATCTTGGAAAGGAGCCAGATAAGGTGCCCAAGAAAGTCAACACAAAAAGGGGCCAGCAGGAAAAGATGGTATAGCTAGGAAAGGCAGGAAGAAGGAGGAAATCTGGAAAAGTTCCTGGTTCTGTTGGTTATAGAAAGGGGCAAACAGGCGGGAGAGTTTTGAGCAGACTTGTCTACTCTGTGCCTGCCTTTCCCTCTCTCTTTCTCCAAGATGCTTCATCAATCATCGCTGCTGCCTGCCTTCTAGGTTCTTTTTACCATTGGACATTTGCATTGGCTGCTGCCACTTGGAATGACTGCCAGGGCTAAATAGGCTGATATTTTTGACCCTTTGTGCTACTGGAGGCACTCCAGCTACAAACCAAAAGAAAGCCCAATTTAGATTACTTGGAAAAAGTACTGTAAATTTATGCCATTTCTGAATATATTCTTGGTGTTTCATAGTTGACAACATTATATTCCCTGGAGTGGCAAACTCACAGAAACCCCATAGAACGATCGCTCTCTACTAGTAGTCTTTCTAGAGTCAGTCTGAGGTGTGAGACTAATCAGACAGGGGGCTCAGAAAATGTATTTTTTAAATAAACAGACTGGAGAGATGATGGCAGTTCTTTTAAGGCACAGAATAACTTTTACTTATCAGCTGCTTAACAGAGAACTGAATTGATGTACAAATTATTTCAGTTTGCTTTCCACTGACTATTAATGTTCTGATAATTTGAGAAAAAGCAGTGAAGGTTTCTGTTTTCCTTGAGAGATGAAAAGGGCCCAATAACATTCTAGAACATTCTCATTTTGCAGACAAAGACTGAGGAAATGGAATGGCCACCTCATAATTACAGAGCAGTAGTGCTCCTAACATTCTGCCAAGGAGCATTACCTTAAGAAGTTAATATGAGCTTATAAATAAGGATTTTAATTTTCTTTCCTCCTGGCTTCCCCTTTTTTGTAGCCCATCTTCAATGTCTTCAGTCACACAAAACAGTCTTATAATCCAACCAAAACACTTCTCTCCTCTCAAGCATATATTATCTTCAAGAAGATGAATATAACTTATACTGTCTTCTGCCATTGCCAAAAACTACCGGAATATCTCTGCACTGAGCTCCATTTCTTTCACTGGTTTGTTGAAGTACAATGGTTTTGAGAGACACTAATTTGCATTCTAATGATATATGATAGTTTCCAGTCCAGATTCAGAATATTTTTTTGAGTTGCAGGTTATTCAAGGCAAATCTTATAAGTCTAAATGAAGTAGAGTTTACATATTTACTATTAATTTTCCCTTTTTATTTACTTCTCTATATAGCTTTTACAGTCCATGAAGAGGACATTTCAAATTAGCATGCTTAATTTATTCCTCTACTTTAAGAAAGATATGAACTAAAAAAATAGAATTTACTTAGAAGAGATGGCCAGCTCAGTCTATTTGAATTATACTGAGTGGAACTCCTATTTACCTCCGCCATAGGTATAAACAGAAAAGACAGACAACTCTCTAGTTACAATTGAGTGAGGGAAGTTGTTTTTATGTTTCTAATTCTCCTGAGATCAACTTTCATTGTGTGGCTTTGTTACTAAAACATACAAACATGGGTTTCAATGCTTGAGACTCTCAGGGATATTAGATCATCTGTGTCTCTCTTCTCTTTGTTAACATGGAGAATGGACTGTACTGCAAAGCCACAGCAGCCTCTAGGAAAAAACATTATCTCTGTTTCCTTACCTGTAAATAGCTAATGTGTTATCCTCAGGGCCAATTACTTTTAATGATTTAATTACATTTATGGTTTTAAAGCACACATTCTACCCAAACCATGCGCTCAGGAAATAACAATTAAAATATTTAATATTAAACACAGTGGGAGCTCTTGTTTCAGAATGTTTTTTGCAAAGTCTATAGCTATTTGAAGATACTTTTACCAGGTTGAAACTTGCAATCATGGAGATAGAGAAGCCTGCTGAGACTTCACACATGAACTGAGATCAAGTGTTAAACATTTTCCAGGGTAAGTTTTTCTGTTTGGTGTGTGTGTGTGTTTGGTGTGTGTGTGTGGAGGTGGGGGGCGTGCGAGTCCTTGGCTCTGAACAGTCACATTTGACAATCCCAGTGAGGTTAAAGGGGTCTTACCTGGATTCCTGGGAACCCGCTTCCTGCGGTCTCTGAATGCTGCACCTGATTGTAGGGCTTCTAGAAGATTATCCATCACACCAGTCTCATCACCCTCTGGAGGGAAGGAGAAATCAGAATTAATCTTGGAGCAATTAAAGTTAAACTACAGGAAAATAAAGGAAAAAAAACACTCCTGTCAGATTTACATAATACCCCTAAATTAAAGACATATATCTGTTTTAACATAATGGATCCTGTCAGTTTCTGGCACCACTGCCTACTTTGCTTATTACGCACCATTAAGCAAAATTCATGCCAATCCCACTGTTCTTTCAACTTAAAGACCTTGTCTTTTGTATTATTGATGACACGCTCAGTATGCAAATAAACAGTAGCTGATCAGCTACTGCTGCTTCCTGTTAAGATTCTTATAAGATATTCCTAAGCAAGAAACCACTGACCCGGCTTAATGCAATCAATGCACAGGGTGTGATTTGATGAAGAGGAGTTACACAAGGTTAAATTCTGATTGTATTAATACCTTCAGCATTCAACCATCATCTGTGATTATCACCAAAGACACTATTTGCGAAAACACATTTGCATTCAATTCCTATCTAACCCATATCCCTTCCTCATTTCAAAATGCTGACATTGTTAAAGAAGAAAAAAAGGTGACCACATCATCTCAAAGGCCACATTTTATATTTGAGAAACATTAGCCAGACTCTACTCATCCCTTTTAGAATGCTGCTGTGTTTCTAAGCTTTTCCTAAGAGAAAGAACTGTTAAGAATCCACGGGTGAGTACTCAAAAAATGTTTATGGAAATTCCTAATGGCAATGCATGTAGAACATTCCACCTTTGACAACTCTGGCCATCAAAAACACTTTAAGGTTTGTTAGAGCATTTGTCTCAAGGTGTCAATTGCCAGAAATTCTCTACTGCACTGTGGCTAATGCACAGGCAATGAAAAGGACCTAACAAGATAGTTAGTTAATGTATATGGCAGCTAAATGTGTGGGTTTGGGGTAGAGGGCACTGGTAAGAGGGTTAAGAGAAGCAAAAGTGAGGAATGAGCAGAAACCGGTTTGGCTCAGTGGATAGAGGGTTGGCCTGTGGACTGAAAGGCCCCAGGTTCCGTTCCTGTCAAGGGCATGTACCTTGGTTGTGGGCACATCCCCAGTAGGGGGTGTGCAAGAGGCAGCTGATCAATGTCTCTCTCTCATCAATGTTTCTAACTCTCTATCCCTCTCTTCCTCTCTGCAAAAATGCAATAAAAATATATACTTTTTTAAAAGTGAGGAATGAGGAAAAAGAAATTGTTTCTAATGCTATTCACAAGTTAAATTTAAGTCCGACTTGTTTAAAGAATTGACTATGGGGTATCAGGTGACAGAAAGAAAATATTCTCTTATGGGGCAAAAACAAGCTAAAATATTTATGAGTATGCTGTTCCTCTAACCTGAGATGGCGTTAATGTTATGATCACTGATTCTAAAATGAATTCTCTAATACAGGATATTGAATGGGGAACAAAAAGGGAAACAGAGGTCCTCTGGTATAATACATGGCGAAAATAGGAAAAATAAAAAGAAAGTAGAATCCTAGTGACCAAAGAGGGAAAGGGGATTGTGCACTTTTTGGAAGGCTGCAGATATTTGAACAAACCCCTGCTCTTTACAATAGAAAAAAAAAGAGGAACTGAAAGTATTTGGGTGTGACTAGAATGCATCTAGGAAAATTAAATTTTATGCAGGAGGCACTTGACCTTTGTTGTATCTTTTAATCTGCCCAACAACACTGTGCAATTGGTATTCTTTCTGTTTTTCAGCTGGGGATACTAAAACTTAGAAACTTGTTTCAGATCACACTGACAGCATGTGGAAGGTCTAGGAATGAATCCAGATCAATCTGCCACCAAGACCAGCCCTGTTTGCATGACAGGCAGGAGATGAATGGACTAGGCCTATGGTGGTCAGATGATGAAACATCATAATCTTATGATCTAGTTTGGGCATTATTCTATAAACCAGCACTGTGCAATAGTTATATAATGCATGCCATAAATGTGAGCCATGTAGATAGTTTTAATTTTTCTAGTAGCCATATTTTAAAAAAGCAAAAAAAAAAAAGCAGGTGAAATTAATTTGAATGTTATGTAAATATTTAACTCAATATATACAATAATTACATATTTTACATCTATTTTCTCAGACTAAATATTGAAAATCTAATGGGTTTATTTCAGTATAATTTACTCCAGATTAGCTACATTTCAAGTGCTCAATAGCTATATTGGCTCCTGACTACTGTCTTAGGCAGTATAGCCATAAGTGATTGGAGGTGACTTGATCAGATATATGCTTTAGAAAGACTTGTCAGACAGCACTGTGGTGGAAGACAAGATGGCACAACAGGAGGCAGGAAGATGTTTAGGAGTATAAGCTAATTGTCTCAGTAGGAGAGAAAGGACTAAATGAAGGGGTCAGCAGAGTGAATGGAGAGAGTGGATATTATGAAGGTATTAATACTGTCAATGGGACCTAGCTGGCTGCTGAAGTGTTTCTTTTTTAAAGGGAAAATAGTTTTTACTTTTTGAGTTACATAGAAAAAATGTGCTTTCTTACAATTTACAATACCTATTTTACTGAGCAAAAAAAATTATCACAGAGAAAATTGTTAATGCTTTTTTGCCACTAGAATGGTAACATATAGGCATGTCTGAGAAGTAGCAATTCAGAGATAACTTTCTAATCTTTCCTCATGAAACAAGATCACAGACAGTATTAAGGAGTGAGTAGGTAGTACAAAGGCCTGTGGGCTCTGTGTGAGCTACGTATCTTGGGGTAAAATGAAACGTATGGATTTTACCTTGTATTTCATGTTTCCAACAATGTTGGTCATTTAGTGGGTTCTGAATGCTTGTTGATTTCAGTTTTCAGCATCAACATTTACCTCTATTGTATTGACTTAATTTCCTCAGGAGAGTTTGGAGATGCTACTGATTGAAATTAGCACTAGGTGAATTAATGATCTCTGTTATACCTCTGTATAAGGCTATTCCTCGATGGCTAGCACAAATTTATTTAGTGGCCATTCTCTATGGGTTTCTCAATTTCTGCATATTTTGTGAGTACAGGAGTTGATGGCCTTCGTATGAAACTATATTTTTAAGGATGTTTTTTATAGTGTACAGCCTTGAAAGACATAATGTCTCCCTCCAGAGCAGAGGGCAGGTTTGTTTGATTTCAAAACATTATATTTCCCTGTAGGGCAGATGTCAGGCAGGTTTTCTTTTAGTCCATTATAAAATACCGGGTTCTCTAAGCCTGGCTTCCTCAGCTCTGACACAAAGAAACTGTGTGCATAGCTTCCACCTGGGCCCACTTTGGCGTCTCCCCTTGGGAGGTGGAAGGCAAGGGAAAGCAATGTGAACATGAAGCTCACACTGCTTGCTGAACAATGAGTTCTTTGTCTCTGACCCTAGATCTTGTGTCTTCTGCCAACATACCTGAAACTATTGTAGACTGACTTTTTAACATGTCAATAAATTCAAAGACTATACAGTCTTTGAAAATACTCTGAGCCATCCCTCCTTTTTAAACATTATTAATTAGAACACCCCTTATTATTCTATGAACCTAAACACATGGTGCTTGGACTTCCTCATTAACTAAGACAACACTCCAGATCATTACTCCTCAAAAATGACAAAACTAAAGCCAATACTATAAATACTAAAAATCATTTCATAAGATCCCAACAACCTGGGCATAATGGCTTTAATTCACTATTACACAGCCTCCTTGAAATCTCTATTGTTTAATTAAGGATTTCTGGAAAAGTTGAGCTGTTCAAAGTTGAAGAAGTTGCCATCAAACAATCAATGTAAAGGGACCCAAAATAAGCCAAAGGCTTTTTGCTGATGGTAGGACCCTAAGTAAGATAATACTTATATAGATTAAGTAATTTTTAAAACTAAATCTGTGCTCTCTGTGAGAAAGACTCATGGAAGAATTGGGAATTAAGTATCTGAAAACAATAAATTAAAAAGGCTGCGTAATGACTGGTTTCAGGACAGTAAAATCTAGACTTATTGACTTCTAGCACATGCACATGGGCATGTATTCACCCACTTGCTGTGTGTGTGTGTGTGTGTGTGTGTGTGTGTGTGTGTGTGTGTGTAAATTTACAAATATTGTAATGCACAGTTAAGTATATAGTTTGGTGAGTTTTGACAAGTAGCTTCACTCATATAATCACCACCATAATCAAGATATTGAACAATTACATCACCCTCAATTAGTTATCTCTTGCCCCCACTATTCAGAGGCAACCTCTGCTCTGATTTCTACCATCATATATTAATTTTAAGAGAGTAAAATGTGTTGAGATAATTTTGAATCAGTGTAGCTACCTATAATTAAATATATTTAGTGTTCTTGATAAACCATGAGGACAGCAACTGAATTGAAAGGTACAGGAGTTTAGTTGGATAGGTAAGGTCAGAGCAAAGTCCTAAAGGGACTTGGATATCAAATAAAGAAGTTTAAACATGCTTCAAGTGACTCTGAAAAGTCATTGGTAGATCTTCAGCAAGATAGTGATGTGATAAAGGTGACATTTAAGATCAGCATCACAGTAGTATGCAAAATGGACCAGAGTGTGAGAAAAATGAATTATACATAGGACATAATTTAATTTGCAGTGACAAATATTATTCTGCCTAACCCTGAGCAAAGTAGAATGGTTAATTTTGGCATTAACGGTAGAAGACGAAATAGAAAAGTAAAATTGGTTTTGTGAGCAAGGTCATGAGCAGTAGTAAATGGAAGCTGACAGCTTAGGAAGGCAGTGGTAAGTGGAGTGCAAGAAAAATCAAGGTTAGATTCAATCTTTTTTACACTATCTATTATGGTCCAGATTAAGACCATGCCACAAGATGTATGCATTTGTAGATGACACAAAACTAGAAGACTACTCAGTTATCAAAGAAGAGGGAATCAAAATCCCTTCTCTAGGAATCTAATAAAAATAAAGGCACGGAGCTGAAAATAGATCTTATAATTCAACATGAAACAATAAATGGTAAAAACAATAAATGGTAAATA